CATTAAAAAAAAAAAAAAAAAGCAGCAGCAGCTACCATTAAAATCCCCCTCCCCCTCTAGTAACATGACAACGTACAGGTAGCCTACATAAATGTTTCTAGAATAGGAAAGTCCAAATACTTGAAATTCAATAAAGGAACAGAACAAACCAAAAGTTCTTGTAGAATTACATTATGATACACTGCGATCTCAAATATATAGGTCTTTGCAAACGAAGACCTAAGTCCACAGCTGCACTAGCTATGAAACACTGAGTGAATCAACTCGCACAATAAGAGTCATTCTAGAGAGAAAGAAAGGCGTTAGGGAAAATATATGTAAAATTGATATTTAGCTGCAACTCCCAGGTTCTAGGATGCCAACTTAGTATTATTCTTCTCACGTGTTTTCATTTTCAACTGGCATAAGGGTTTTGAGCACTTTGAGGCACAGCTTGATCATCTCCGTAGCTCCTGCATCTCAGTTACATTAATATGAAATTTTCAAGGGACTGTGGTTCAGTAGTTTGATTCTAGTGGGTAGGTGCTGCTTTTCGCCTATAACACAAAGCACCTACCCACTAGAATCAAACTACTGAACCACAGTTCACATCTACCACTGAGACCTTCATCAGAAAAAGATATCTGCTTGCATGAAAATTAATGCACTCACATGAAATTGAAACAGGAAGTATATGCAGGGAATGTCTGCAAGACTGCACAAATGGGAATAGAAAAGAACGGTTTTAAGACCTGGTAAACTAAAGAAGACAGTCTCAGAGGAAAAAAAAAATCCTAATTAGTATGCATTCCTCCTTTCCTTTTCTGCAAAATGAGAAAAGTATTTTTACAAGTTTCAGTGAACCAGCAGCAAAGAATGAGATCATATTTCTAGTTAAGGCACTAGAAAGAGCCATCTAGAATCAAATCCCAGGTCTGCTACAGAAAATTCATTAAAATGGGCAAACAACCTGTCTGTACCTCAGTGCCCTTGCTGATAAAACAGAAATAATATTTCCTTTATGGGTGAGCTAATTTTGATTTACTCTTCTTGTTAACAGCATTAAAATGAAAACTTATGTCAGGCTGCAATTCCATGAGCTAAAAATGTTAGGATATGTCTAAGGGTCCTCAGAAACAGACAGAGTATATTTCACTGAAAAATGAAACACTGTTTTACAGTCTTGAACAACAATACTAAGAAAACTGTGTCTTACCAGCTGGAATTCTCTGCGTCTGTCATAGGCATTCTGGATACCACTGTCTGCCCACAGTGCTCGTATTGCTGGAAGGTACTGTAAAAAAACCCGAGTCTCCACCATCCCTTGTGCCACCATGGCTGACCGAGTATCAAAAGCCATCATCATATCCCCATTACTCTGGTTGGCAGGAACTCCCCAGGGAATGTGAAGTTTCTCTCTGGCATCCACCAGGACTCTCACACCTTTAATAAAAAGGAAGAGCCATAATTAGTGTTCTCCCAGATCTGCCATGTCTACTTATCACACTAGACCTTAGACAGACAGACTTAAACACGCACGTACTTTCGACATATTCTGTGTAGTCCCAGTAAAGCTAATGGGACTAACTGCACAACAGGAAGTTAAGCATATATGATGCCTTCACATTGCTGAAATCATAGCTTTAAAGCTCTGTTTCAAGGTAACATGGAAGTTACAGTTATTTGTAGTGAGAAAATTAGCTATATACTTCTGAGATTGTTAATGCAAAATTCTGGAAAAACATCTAGTTTGCAACAAGGGCAAGAAAAGAAGAAAAATAATGTCCTCATCGAGAATTAAAATGGTGGTTTTGTGAAATACACTTCACAAGCATTATCCTTTCACCTTTAATGATGCATACTGAAGTTAGTAAAGGATACTCTCAACTACAAAATAAACAACTGATGCTAGCAAACAGTCTATGCTTTTGTTTGAACTCAAGAACGAGTTTATGGCAGTTTAGTTCACTTAGCAAGAATACAAGATTTCAAGCATATAAATTAACTATGCTAAAAACTATTTCAGAATCCAGTGAACTGTTTACCACCTTGCTTAAAGGCATTTCCTTCTTTTCACATGTTGTAATAAACTTGGTAGTTTTGCCAAAAGACAATGGCAATATTCATTTTCAGAAACAAAGGTAAACTGTGTAGCACACAACTGATATGGCATTAAATGCTTTCAAAAAGGTACCTCAATTTGCTGATATCCACACAACAGTTACTTAATGGAAAGAGTTCCATTACAAGCACAGAGCTTCCTAAGTCTTTCCTTTAAATACCAAGACAAAAGCAATAACTCTCTTTAACACTCAACCTTGGGCTTTAAGAGAAAATCTGTGCTTTTTTCCCCTGTACCTCTACTGTCTACGTGAGAATGGTGAACTAATACTACCATCAGATTTTCTCTTAAAGCCCAAATAGGGGGAGGAAAATCAGCGTGGAGAATCAAGGTCGGAGCTAGGTATATGGGACCAAAGTCTCTTGATCTAAGAAGTGTTTAACACGCATGGCTACACCCTACATGGCTGCAACCTACACCCGTAACACATGGTTACTTTTAATATCAAAGAGCATACGATACACCTTGGTTTTCTAAAACCAGCCGTCAGCCCTGAGGTAAAACTTTTCTGCCTGTCAACTGGCAAGGCAAAATCTGACGGTGATATCAGAAGCCTGCTCTAAAAATCTCTTAATTTCATTAACTACCTAAACCTAATAGCCAAACTCTTCCAGCTGCCTCCCCCACAAAGACAACGGCAGACAGGAGCAGTTTCTGCAACCCTAACCCTCCTTCGGAGGCAGCCCAACTAAGCACTCCCAAGGGCCTGAGTGATTTAGGAGCCCAAGTCCCACTCTCAAAGGCAACCGAAGCCTCCGTGACCCTCCATTTCACTCAACCTGAGTGAAATGTCGGCCCCCAGGGCCCTGCTGGACACTACCCATCTCAGGTGCCTTGGGGGTTTCCAAATCAGGTCGACCCGCCCTGCTCCAAGGGCAGTGATTGAGGTGCGGGGTGGGGTGGGGTGGGGCAAGGCAACAGCCATGAGGGTGCTGGGGCCAAACAGGAGGCAGGCAGGAAGACCCACACCTCCAAAACTAAGGCAGATGCATGTATGCATGTGTGTAATTATGTACATGCACCCCCACACCTTAGTGTAGGAGGCATGGGTGTAAGGCAAGTGTACACACCCCTGCCTTGGTTACTCTGGGAAGTGTATGGGGAGGGTGTATGTATACACAGACACACACACATGCCTGCCTTGGTTAGTCTAGATGTGGGGGGGCAGTGTACATATACACACAGACACACACACACGCCTTAGACCCTCACCTCCTAGATTAAAGCAGAAAGGGGTGTGCGTGTGTACATATACGTGCATACACACATGTGCATCTCCTGCAGCTGAGGAGATGTGGGGCTCCCCACCCGCCTCCTACTTAGCCCAGCACACAATGTGCACGCGCGCACACACAGGAGCACATGCACATGTGCACACATACAGGGTCTGAGGGGGGTCTATGGCAGGTGTGTGTGTGTATACAAACACACACACCTCTGCCTTAATCTAGGTGTGGGTCTCCCCATCCACCTCCAACTTGGCCCAACACGCAACGCACGCACATGCACACACGTACAGGCACTGAGGGGTCTACAGCAGACGCGTGCATCTGTGTATGCGCACATCCCCACCTCCCTTAATACAGGTGTGGGTCTCCCGGCGCGCGTACACACACACACATACACACGCGCACACACCCACCCACACCCCCGGGCTCCAGGGGAACTGCCCCGGGCGGGGCGGGGGTACCGCACCTTTGATGACGTTGCTGTAGATAGTGGCGCGGAACTCCTCGCGGGCCGCGCGGTCCCAGTCCTGCCCGTGGATAATGCGCATCTGCTTGAGGAAGGTGGACTTGCCACTCTCGCCCGCGCCCAGCAGCAGGATCTTGACGAGGCGCTTCACGTACGTCTTCTCCTTGCTGAGGCACTTGTCGATCTCCTTGGACTTGCGCTGCTGTTCGGCCTCGCCGCTGCTCAGCAGGCAGCCGGGGAAGCAGCCCGACAGCGCGGAACGCGACGGCAGGAAGTCCGCCATCTTGGCCAGCACTGCCAGCGAGGGAGGGAGCGGCCGCCGCCGCCTGCTGCCTGCGCATGCGCCGCGCGCCCACCCAGACCACGTGACCGCACCGCCCTCGCGTCACGTGAGCCACGCCGCCACCTGACTGCCCTCCCTGCCGCGCCCCGGCACGCGTCACCCGTCACATGACGGCACCCTGGCTCCTTCCGCACCACGTGACACTGCGCGGGTCAGGGGCGGGCGCAAACGGGGGAAGGCTTACCACATTGGTGCGAGTAGTCCCACCCCAGTGCGATGTACCGTAGTGCACGTGCTGCAAAGCGCAACACTCTTGCTGCAGAGATGATCCCTTCTTAAGTGGGTCTCATAACAGGTCTAAATAAAAGTGATCATCTCAGTTCTAGAGTTTGGCATCCTTTTTTTGTCCCATCCCCCACATGGGCTCTCGGCAGACAGAGTCAACCAGATCTTTGATCAGACCTGGGGAAAAATTGTTCTGTGCAACGTGTGCCCCTGCAAAACGCGCCCTGGTTTTCGCAGCAGCCTATGCAAAACATGGCACTCGGAGCATCTGGACCAAGGCTTGGGTCGGCCATTGGTACTTTCTGATGGCCAAAATAAAAACCATGCTTCTACCTGGATGAACCAAGTCTCACCCACTGGACACCTACAGTGAGCAATATCAAATAAATCACTTGTTGGCATCTTTTCTCAGCAAATACAATCAACTGTCCAATATTACATTTTTTTCATATTTAAGACCCGGTAGTGCTGGTCCTACCCTGCACCACCACTTCCCACTGCAAGCAGGAAGGATGGGGTATTTACATAGGGCCAGGGATTGAACCTGGGTTCATCCAGCCCACAGCCAGGGGGGAGAAGGTGCTGCCTAGCAGAAGGGTCCAGATGGGTGAAAACCACGACTGGGGTAAATGAGGGTTTTGGGGTGAATTTGATATCTTTATCTTTTATTAGACCAACTTTGATACCAGATTTACCCCAAGAACCTTGTCTACGTGCTTTGACCAACACGGCTGCAACCGATACCCCAGTGGAGGCAAAGCACAGCCTGCAGCCCCCTGCTCCAGCCCTCCCAGGTGTCCATCAGCTGCGGATGGGGGAAGGGGTGAAGGAGCCATAGCTGCAAGGTGCTGGAGGTTTCTGCAAGACTGGCGGTGCCCCCGGGGCTCGGAGTCAGCAGAACAGCTGCAAACCAGGCGCGTTGGGTCCCACAAGGGATGGTGCAGCAGCAGCACATTGGTGAAAGCAAACTTCTTCCTGCCCAGCTCCTCGGCCACAGCTTGAAGGAGGTGGATTTGCAAATATGCCGGACCCTGCGTGGTCTTGTCATCGTCCTAGCTCCAGGCAGCTTTCCGGAGAACCGCGCCGGCCTAGCTAGGACTGCACTGGAGATCTGGCTGGCAAAACACGCTGCCCCTTCATCCCAGCTGGGGGAGATGCTCTAAAAATGTCCTGAACTTAGTGCAAAATTAGTTCCCGCATGTGTCTCTATGTGTAATACTGGGAGTACTGCACCTACAATGGGATACATGAAAAAACTATATTGTGCAGACAAAGCGATTAGAGGTTTTCTTACAAGGAAACAAAAATTGAACTTCCCCATCAGCTTCTTTATATGTCCAAGCCCAACAGGAAAAAAACAACAAAAGTTGTAGCAGAAGAAAACCCCTGGCATGCCTCTAGCCCTCACTTCCCTAAGAAGAGCAGCAAGCGCTTCCAGGATTTGTTGGGATGAATGCAGCTGGGCTGTGGAACTGCCCTGGGCTCAGGTCTCCAGGCACTGGGATGGTTAGACAGAGGTGGGGAGAGGAGGTAATGGGAACTGACCTCTAGGATTTCACTACTAGCTCACAGTACAGAACTACACTTCGCTGAAGACTGAAAGCTTAGACGCATGCAAGGTTGAAATTGCACATCTCATTGGAAATAGCTCTAATCCCGGTTATTCTTACTCATCATCTGCCTATCACCGTGGAAATTTAGGCTAATTGCAGCCAGATCTTGAGATGATATAAGTGGCTACAACTCCATTTCCTTTAGTGAAGGTATTCCAATTTGCTCTAGTTGAATATCTGGCCTATAAGTTTAGAGACCAAAAAAACTGTCTCCTTTTTGTATTATTCCATTAATGGCCCAAAAGAGATGGGTTGCGTTGGTCAAGCACATATAGAAAAGCCAAATTTCGCGTGCTTGCACACAGGCATGTGCACGTGCACACACAATCTCAATCAATCCGGTATTATCAGTTATATTCCTTAAACACCAAGCCACATCATACACTCATGACTCTTAAAAACACACAGACGAGGTTCTTTGGGTGAATCTGATATCTTCTATTAGACCAGCTTAAATAGTTGGAAAAACATTTTTAGCAAGAAGGTACTTGGGTCACATGACTCAAAAACATGCAGCGAATACTCATACGCACTTCACATCATTCAAACCTGGCAATGTTTAAGCCATCCTACAGAAAATCTGTGTATACATATGCACACACATGTATGCACACACACCCACTGATTATATCAGATGTTCCCTTTCTCTTCCCCCAAACCCTATCTTTGGCACCCAGTACTTTCCTCTTTGCATACTTTTTTTTTTCCTTTTGATCTCTTGATTGTATCATAGAGTTTTAAAAAGCTGAAGAAGAAAAATGGCTGTGGAAAACATGACACCAGCTTAGCATTGGGAAACTGCTTTAATGAATGGAAAAACTCTTCCCCTGAAATCAATCATAAAAAGTAGTCAAGTGCCTATCCCAGTACGGTGAGTGTGCTCTCTCCCACAAGGCTCTGTGACATTCAGGGTGTTAGATTTATTCCAGATGGTGCTTCTAAAATCATCTATTGGTAGAGAGCAGTACCCACCTTTATAAAATCCCTATAATCACCTGCTAACCTGTGTGCAGCGATGGGGGGTCAGAAGCTCTTGAGTTCTGGTCCAAGACTTGGCACTGACTTCCTTTTCTGGCTGGACACAGCTCAGAGCCTGATTTTAATTACTGTCAAGGCGTTTCCAACTCCCATGGGTTTCATGTGGAGTTGTGGGTGCTCAGTGACTCTGAGCTTTTGCCCTTTCTCTTTGGCTCTTTCTCCATCTGTAAATCTCAGCATCCTGCCAAAGTTAGCAGATGTTCCTGCCCCAGTTTACTGACAGGAGCAGCAGACAACACGCAAGTCAAGGCTAAAACTGTTCTGAATTTTGGCTTCCTCCGTTGCATGAGTGCGTACCCTGAGCCCGCGGGTAAGTAATGCAGCAGAGATGAGGAAGGGGCAGACTCAGGTGAGGAAAATCCTTGTGGCCCCAGCAGAAGAAGGTAACTAAGCTCCTAACCAGAGCAAGGGGCTGCACCACCCACCGTGCCACATACCGACATGCGCTTGGGACCATTTTAAATCAGGATGGCCGAGCTGGAGTTCCCCATTGCGGGAGGCATAAGTGTGCCCCCGTAACACAGCAGCATCCTCCCACTCCCATCACCAGAGCCAGTTGCTCTCTGCAGACAAGGATGGATTCGGGGGAGAAACAGAACTAGCCATTTTATTATAACACAGGCTGTTCAACCCCACGCCCAGTTCAGTCAGACAGAAGCACCTCCCGCCCAACGGGATCTCGGTTTTCCCGTCTGTGCACCTTCCCTGCTTCTCAGTTTCATTGCTTGCCTTCCTCTTTGCCCTTTGTCCCCTCCTGTTCCTATCCTGCCCTGCTTTTCTCCTACAGCTCATCCTGCCACCCATGCACCTTTCCTCTCTGCCAGGTCTGGGACTCCTTCCCCTGCCCACACTCCATTTTTGGGGGTCTTTTCTCCCCAGTTGTCACCCCCGGGAGCTCTAACCATCACTCCCCCGCTGTCCTTGCTCCTTCCCCGTTCCTAACTGCTGTCGCATCCATTGCATCCTGCCATTTCGCTCCCCAGCCTGCTGCCACTGCCACTCCATCGACGGCTGCCCCACATCCCAACTCTCATCCTTGCTTCTATCTGGGAAACTCTCCCAAGCCTTGTCGCTCTGGCATGGCCGTCCTCGACCTGCCTCTGAGCTGAGGCTCGGGGCGGAAATGGAAAAGAGGGAAAAGAGAAGGGAGGTGGATGGAAAGACAGGCTCAGTAAGGGAAGCAAGAGAGCTCAGCATTGCTCCATCTCCCTGTAATACTTCAGTTACCCCCCAGCAACCTGCCACAGCCTGTGAGGGAGTGTGGCCAAGGCCCTTCTCTCTGTTTTGTCCTTTTCTTTCCCCAGAAAGTGGAAACACACCTTCTGCCCTCTCACAGACATGATGGTGCTGCTAGAGCAACACAGGAGCAATACTGGGAGATAGATCATCTTCGAAGGGGTTGTCTGCTGCATAGAGTGCTGGACTGGGACTCCAGAGCTGTGTCCTATTCCTGAGCTCAGCCTCAATTGGCTTAGTGTTGTTGGGCAAGTCATGGCCCTCTCCCTGCCTCAGCTTCCCCACCTTCTTTGCAAAGTGCTTTGAGATTTCCCGATAGCAAACAGATAATGAATTTCCACCCAAGATTCATGCTTGACATGCTTGCAAGGCAATGCTAATGGGCTTCCTGATGTTCCCCCCAGCTGCTCAGACAAGGAGGCGGTCACACATCACATGCCTGCAGCGTTGCAAGTTACAGCTTGTGATTTTTGAACAAAAAACAATCAAAGCAATCATCTGTCCTTTAAAAAAATGGAATTAAAAAGAGTTCCCCAAGCAGCCAGAGTGTTTTTCTTTTCTATTGGAGACATCCAGGACAGTTGGCTTACTGGGGTGGGAACAGACTCAACAGATTTGTCAAGACTGATCCAGGGAGAGAGTCTTGCATGGTTCCTACCTGCACTGGGCCTGGCTCCTAGCCCATTGCTTTCATGTCTGATACTGATATGCAAAACCACGTGCAAAACTAAGTCAGGGAATCTGCCTGGCCTTGAGTCTGGGAGTTGCTGATTTGGTGATTAGCACTCATTCCCATTTGGCTTCCCTTTCCTTGCCTTGTACCTTCGCTGATAAGACAGGACAGTCACCTCTCTTCCTCTGGGAACAATCCCACCTGGCCAGCAAGCAAGGCTGGGCTTTGCTGCTAAGCCAGGACCTTTCTGGCTCACAACTTGAAGCTCTGCATACGTCTCAGCCTCCAGCCCTTCTGGGGCTTATTTCCTGGTCAGATGAATCTGATGCTTGGCTAATTTGCTGTCATATGGGTAGGAAATACGATCTGTTGATGGCTGTTCCAGAAGACAGTTTGGTGTCTGTGCCATGTATTTCCTCTCCTCTGCTTTCACCCTTCACATGTCAGTTAGTCTTTAAACCAGCGATGAGCATGAAGACCCTGCTCGCCCACTCCGTCCAGCACCGCCAGCAATGGGTGCAGGGTGGATGGGCCAGGGTGCCCAAGCAGCAGGGCCAGGTCTGGCAGTGGTGGAGACTCGCAGCAGCAGTGGAAGGAGCCACCACTGTGAGGGCTGCAGGGAAGTGAGTCCGGCCGCCACACCACCCCAGCCCCGCTGTACACCCGAGGGCACTGGGACTGGCTGCACATGCCGTGGCCCTAGCTGCCCTCCATGCCTGGGCCAGGCAAGGTCGAGGGACCTGCCACAGGCCAGACAAGGACCAGCCTGCAAGCTGTATTCGGCCCACCCCTGCTTTAAACAGAAGTTGCATCCTTACCTGTGAAGTCCCTGGGCCTCCTCCATAATTCATACCACATCTCTCCATGCCTCCAGGCTCAATGCGTCACCTCACGGGCCAGCTCTGATCTCTGCTGGCTTACTCTCCTCGTTACTTTGGTGCCATTTACCAGTCTGATCAGAGCTGAAATGAAGCCAGACAAATGAAGACAGGAAGCAGCCATGCAGCGGACAGAGAGATGCTTGTAGGACACTTTGAGAACGCGCACAAGGCGCCAGGGCTGGTGTCGGTAACACAGGTGTCTGTGCCAGAGCTCAGCGTGCCGCAAGGAGGTTTTGTTCTTGCAGAACCTGGGACCTGCCTACACCACGAAGCCTCTACCGCTATCACTAGGCTGGCAGCACTATGTCAGCAGAGCCCCCAAAAAAGCAGCAACATGTGCCAGCACAAGGGCTTTCTGCTGGTGCAGCTGAACCTCCTGGACCAACATCTGCTGGCTGTGTCAAACCATCACTGCCTCCTCTACGGCCCTTCTGGAGTTAGCCCAGGCAGGATGTGGGTGCCTTGTAAAAGGGCAGGTTGGAGCAGCAGATGATGACTTGTTCACTCTAATAAACTTTCATCTTGTGTCTGGCATTTCTCATACCCAGGTGCATGAACTTCTGCTGATGCCTTCTGTTAATTTTTACGTTAACTTGCCTTTTACAAGAAGGAGGTGTTTTGAATGTCTACAATAAACTATTTTATATGGCCAAAGAAAAAAAAAAAAAGCCAACTACTGAAAACTGGCCTCACCTCTTGCATTTACACTGACCCTTTCTTCTCTGCCCCCACCTTCCCCCCAGGGCTGATGAGCAGGGCAGCACAGAGGAAATGTTTTGCAGTGCACAGCAACAAGGGTTACTGTTTCCACAAAACCCAGAACTATGCTCCTATTTTTGAGTGCCGGCTACCCCCATATTATCTAATATTAACTAATTATTTACATATAAAAGCCAAGCCGTTTCCTGTACCACCTCTGTTTCTCTAAATGAAACCAAATAATTTCCATTAACCCTGAGCTGCCTAGGCAACTTCACTGCTCTCCCACTTCACCCTCTTTCCTTTCCCTGCCACCTGCCTTCAAGAAATGTCTGTGCTGTTACATTCCCTGTCAACCCCTTCACCAGCTCCAGAGGGTTGCCTATGAGCAGTTTCATTTCAAAGCGGCAAACAACAATGGAACAATTCAGCTCTGAGATGCTGAAAATGAGTGAAGAACCTCCCTCCTGATCCTTTCGGCAATCAGCTGATGCCCTGAAGCATGAGATCTGATTACCCTGATAGTACCCTGCAGAACTACAATCGTTATTAATCGGGGTTAAATTGTGTAGCAGAGAGAAGCGGAGATTTCCAGGAAAACCTTCTGTAAAGCAAGTGTGATGTCAGTCATCTGACTACTGTTGGGAGAGCCACGGGAGGGAAGCAGTTCACATGGGAATCTTTATGAGTGGAGACTTTCAAAGCACCCGCAGCGCAGGCTCATTCAGACACTTAAGAGCCGAGATCAAGATAAAGCCCTTTCATGGAGGCAGTCTGTGCTTTCAGCTGTTATTGTGAAGGGGAAAAGAACATGGTGACGAGATCAGGGCCGACGTACCTTCCTGCAGCGCATGAACTCTGAACTGGGACGCCAGCCGAGCTGCGGGAGAGCAGAGTGCTGGGCCGGGCATGCAAATACAGCCCCGTTTGTGCATACATAGCATGCACGTGGGCACCCACACCTGTGATATGTGCGTTATGTGCACGTTTAGCGCAACTGTGCATGTGGTGTGCATACACATACGTGTACAGCACGTGCACATTTAGTATTGTTGTGGGTGCATTAGTGCGTATGATGTGTGTACACCCACACTGCATAAAAACATACACTTCAAGTGGATGCAAGCTGTGTTTGAGAATGTCTGATGTGTATGTGTTACGTGTGTGCGGTTGTATGCACACACGTTGAGATGTCCATGAAGTGTGTACACATGCGCTGCGTACAATTTGTGCGATACATGAGGGTGAACGCACATACAGTTTGTGCGTGCACACACTGGGTTCACAGTGTATGCATATGTGCATGTGTAGTACATAGAGAGGGGGCTCAGGTCCACCTGGGTGGTGTGCACTTTTGTGAAGTACATAGTCACATCTTGCACACATTAGCTCTCTTGAATGTGAGACTTGGCACACGGAGTTCTCCCTGGTAGCATCGAGGTCTCACCTCTCCCTGTTCCCAAGGGCCATCGCCACCGTTCAGGCCTGGAGTGTCTCACCCGATGAAGCTTGTGTGCTCTTGGTCCTTTTTGGATAAAACGACGGATTTGAGTTTCCAGTATTGTCAAGCCAAAGCCCGTCACACTCCCAGCCGCCCAGCACAGGGTGCTTCACTTGTGAAGAGCCTTTCAGGGGTGGGGGCCCTTCCTCTGAGTGCTTATTCAAGCACACGCAACTCATCTGGATGACATGCCTGGACACCCTCCCGGAGGGGGGGCACGTCCTGCTTCATTTTGCCCGAATACGGCGACTCCTGTCTCCGCACACCTCCTTTCGTGCCAAGTGCTCGGCTGGCCGCCCTCCACCTCCATCACCTCTCCCCCTCCTCTGGGGAATGTGGGTTTTGTGGGAGGGCCCCTCCTCCCCGTTACTGAGGTCAGGGATCCGTATTATGATGTGAGGGGTCGAGATCGCCTCCTGCCAGGCCCTGACCAGTCAATGCCTGCAGACATCACGGGGTCCTCCCCACCTTGCAGGACCCGGCTGATTTCACCACTCGCGGCCTGTCCTCTCATCCCCGTCTGGCACCTTCTCATGTACTTATGGGGACGTATTTCTGACCACTCACCTGATTCATCTGCTCATAGGCAAAGAACAGTGTTTTCGAGGCTGCCGTCCCCTGCACTTGCCTGACTCAGGAGCTTATCTTGCCCCCGCTGAACTCGGGGGGGGGCGGCTTTGCGCCCCGACCGCAGGCAGAGCCGGACTGGGCCCTTGTCCCTGTCAGCGCCTCATCCACGGTGCCTACATAGGCGGCATTCGGCAGACTCCGCCGCCCGCTGATTGGCCGAGGACCCCTCCCCACTGTCCTCCAGCGGCCGCGCTCCCCCTATCGGGACGCGCTGAGCCCGCTCATGCAAATGAGGTCCTGGAACTCGCTCGTGGATTGGCTGCGGCGCGGCGGGGTCTGGTTCCACCGCTGCCTTCAGCTCCCAGACCGGGAGCGCGCGTAGGGGCGGCTGCGGGCGGCAGAGCGTCGTTGTCCGGGGAGCGCCCCCCGCTTCTCTGCTGCCTCGCTCGGCCTTGGGAGGGGCACGATGACTATCAAACGCCTAGACCAGGGGCAGCATTACAGGCCGAGAATGGCAGTCCTCAAAAAGGTAACCCCGCCTGGGCAGGGATGCATCTGTCCCCGCACCTGCACCCCCGTGCCACCTGCCTCGCGCGGGGATGCCGGGACGGGCAGGGCACCCAGGGGCGGGCTGCAAGGGCTTTCTCCTGCTCTTGGGGCAAAGAGCCTTGTTTTCTGCAGGTGCCAGGGGAGACAGCCGGGCCCAGGGCACCGTGGGCCTCCTCCGGGGGTAGCAGCAGCGCTGGGATGAGACCTGGCCCAGAGGGGGAGGGTTAATCTAGATATTTAATAGGGCGAAAATTTTAAAAAAAGGAAAGAGAAGGGTTAATTTCTCGCATCTTGCAGGTTTATCCTTGAATGATCCTAGGGGAAGATTTCCTCCCCCCATTTCCCCCACCCTGGACTGAAATCAGGGGGGGAAAAAGCCCCGGTATCAGAGTTCGATTCTCCCATGAACCGTCGTGGGTTTGTTTTTCCTCCCCTTCCCCGCAGCCGGCAGGGTGACATGCAGCCAATGTCCATTTTCAAGGGATACATCACGCAAACGCCAGCTGCGTGTCTGCTCCTCCCTTCTGGGAAGACAAGTGCATGTAAAACGGTTATAGCTTTGGGGAGCGGGGAGGTGAAGGAGCACGTTTCCGATGCCATGCATCCTTCTGGAAGGGCTTTCTGTCTTTTGTTTAAACTTCCATTGAAAAGCATGTTGCTAGAGCCGGCATAGGAAAAGAGCTTAAAGAGGGTAGGTATTAATCCAGCTTTTCTCCATCCTCTGTCTTTACCTGGCTTAGCTTGTTGAATGGAATTAGCTGAATTTCCAGTGACAGGTACAGCTGTCTGGTTCGTATTTGCGTAGCAGTTCACCCCCCAGGACAATCAAGCGCAGCAGAAGAAGGAAGACGAGTGCAGACATGAAGCGTTTCTGCCAGGGCATGCAAACACCACAACGAGGAGGTGGCTGGGTTTGAAATTCAGAGGAGAGAGGCAACGGGGTGTGAATTTATTCAGTCTCACAATACGAGTCCTACAGGACAAACATTTGTGCTTTTCATGCTGAAGGCGACGTGTACACTAGTTCCTTTGCAGGTGTTCGTTTCTGCATAATTGGGCAGGGAAGCCCCATCAAAGAAAAAAAAATGGGTCACATTTTGCACTGATTTATACTGTGAAGGCAGTGGGATTGCTTGGAGAAGATACAGATCATTAGTCTGTACATTTCTGTAAAAAAAGCCTAATTAGCAGCATTTCTTTGCTCTCTCTAAAATGGGGATGAGCTCACCTGTCAGCCTTTGCAAAGTGTTCTTGAGATACTTGCATGGGAGAAGCCAGGAGAGTGCAGCAAATTGCTGTCAGCTTGGGTCTTCCCTGGGAGACTTCAGAGAGTGCCGCGTTGCTCAGCCCCACTCCAGACAGTTCAGCCTGGGAGGTTCCCGCGTGGCTGAGCAGGGGCCTTTGATCTAAAGTCGATGGCAAGAATCTGGATCCGGCTTCTGGTTCTCACCGTCTCTCTGGTTAGATCACAGCGGGACCTGGCCACTCTTAGGGTGATGACCTGCAGTCCATATGCATGGGCAGACCCTGTGAGCTACAGCGTTCCCTACAAGTCGCTGCACACCTCAGACTCCCGTTGCCAGTGGGAGCGGGGGACCCGTTGCACAAAGCTGCTCGGGATCAGTTCTGTAGGAAGCTAAGATAAGCGATAAAGGCGTCATTAATTGCTCGAGTCTGCATGAGTGCCTTGCCACCAGCTGGCACCCCCACAGTCACATATGCTCCACGTATTGTTTGTGCCAGTCAGGCGGAGGGGGCGTGCTGCTGGTGTCATAACACTGTTGGTCCTGATTGCTCCACGAGCAGCGCAACGCCCGTATGCTTCCTGGGCCTGTGCGTGCTCGTTCCTGCCGCGTGGCCAGCGCAGGGCACAGGAGGCGGGGGATTCTTTTTCCCCAGATGAAGCAGGTCTGCTCGGTTGCTCCTCTGTGCAGCTGAGGCTTGGACGAAGCAGTTTCATGCCATGCCGGAGCTGAAACGTATGGCTGTGAATGAAATGGCACCATTCAGGGAAGTGTGCATAGGGACCTGGCTGAGGCTGGTGGGTTCCTGGCCATGGGCTGAGAGTCCTCGGAGGTGCATGTGCAGCGGCTCGTGCCAGCAGCTTTGTAGCTGAAACTCTGGGCAGACATTGCCTAAAGGAGCGGCCAGCAGCTGTCATGCTGGTAGGGGCCAGGATCCATCCCAGGTTCACGCACTTTTGTGTCCAGGAACTTTCCCTTGCTTGTCCTGTCCTCTCATCGGCTGCAGGCAGGGAGCTGTACTCTGTGCCAAAGCAAGCTCAAGGTGGCTCGCTGTGGATGGGTTTCACTCCTCCAGGGTGGAGGAGGGAGTCTTCTGTTTTCACACGTCCTCATAGGACACTGCAGACAGTTTTGCGTGGGGTAGAGGAGAGAGGTTTGCCACCAAGGGTAGAGGACGTGTCGCCCCTTCCCATAGTTCTTTAACTGAGGCCAGCCGTAGCTGGGAGGAGGCCCCTGCAGCCACGCTGATGGGAGGCAAATTACTGTGGTTTCCTGCAGGCCCTCAGACTTACCCGGCAGGGGAGACACCGTCTTCTTGGCCTTGAATGACTCAAGTGTAGTTGGAGGGTGAAGGCCTGTGCCTTGCAGTGCGGGCAGGTTGACCCCGGCGAGAGTCTACAAATGCCTCCAAATGCAGGATCTTGGCTCCACAATTTATGGTGATGGGGGATTGCTGTCAGGCTTTCCCCCTAGCTTGCTCCTTTGCCCTTTTGGCTCGGGGCAAGCAAGACCGGATGGCATCTGAACTCCAAGGCCTCTAGGCTTGGGGTTTGCATGTAAGATGCCTGCCATGGATTTGGGAGCATATGAAACCCCAGACTGATGCGTCTGGGAGGCAGGATACTTGCCAGTAGACTAAAACGATTGATCTCTGCTCAGCCAACATTTGAAACTTAATTTGGAGCTGATTTGGCCCGGGAAATGCAATTTAAAAAAAAAAAAAGCAGCGCTGAGTGGCAGAGCCATTTTAGTCCTTCCTGTCTAGGTGTCTAGATATCGATGCTCTTTCTGGCACCTAGACAGCTTAGGAAAGACCTTCTGTGGCTCTTTCCGCTTGCTCAGCACTGCAGAAACCCAATGCAAAATAAAAACCGCCCAGCACTAAACCTCTGCTCAACAGGGCAAGCTGTGGCCAGTGCAAGCAAGCAGCGGTCTGCCTCTGCCTCTTCCTTCTTCTTCCAGCGCTCTGTAGTAGCAAACTCTGTATGGCCTCACTTAGTTGAAGGGTTGTAGGCTGGTGCTTTGCTGACGATGGATGCCCGCCAGCAAAGTCAGTGATTACAAGTGTAAGAGTGGGAAGCTGGGCATGCACCAGGGCACCTCCCAGCCCGAGGACCAGAGCCCACTGCTGCAGCCAGATGAGCGGGGCTGAGCAGGGGGACCCGGGGGTGCATGGGAATGCAGGACAGCTGCGATTCTGTCGCCCAGTTTAGCCCATCAAGGCTGGTTCGAGTGGCGAGACTCTTCGGTGAGCTTTCTCAGTAAGCAGGAGGGGACTGGGGGAGAGGGAAGGGACGGAAGAAAAGCAGGTAACAAGCTAATTGGGTCTAAGTAGCTGAGGCTTGAAACACAGTTCCCTTATTTTCCTCTTCCTCCTGTCCCATCTGTGGCCTCCTACACACGGTTTGCAAACTTTCTCCCCCAAGTCCTGAGTTCAGGATTTGGCTCTTCGTGCCTCTTGCCTACAGATTTTTTCCTGTCACCCTCCCTGGGGCTCTGGGGGCAAAAGTCACTTCTGTGCAGGGGTCTCGGGGACCTCAGTGAACCCACAGTTTCATTTCCCTAGGGGCTGTTTTATCACTGAGATGTAATTTGCTGCTGTTCTGCTTCCCCGCGACCGTCCTGCTCCCCTGCCTGTGGTATGTGGTCACTGGGGAGTAACTTGCCCGCCGGAGCGGCAGATTGATCAGGGTCTGCTGCATTTCTGTCCTTTCCAGGTGGGCCTGAAACGCAGCCCACACTTCAGGCTGGCTGTCCGCACCGGGGCGAACCTCCTCAGGCGTTCATCTGGTACGCTGCGGGCCTGCCCGTGTGCAGCGAGGGCAGGAAGTGGCCTCACGTACACCAAATTAAAACCAGCCAGGGCTCTTTTGGGAAAGCGCACGCGGCCAAGCCCCAGAAAGGAAAGCAGATGTTCTCATTGTATTTTAAATAGTCCTCCCGGGCTCCTGCTGACACACTGGTGTTGATGGCAATTTCTAATCTCTAGGAATCCATAGTAAGCAGCCAGTTCCCTTTGGAGGAGAGGAAAAGACCTGCTGAGTTTTGATCAGGAAAGTGCGTGGTTTGCAGCCAGAGCAGCAGGCACCACCCAGCGAGAGCTCCCTTGCTTATCTCCCTTGTTGCTTTTAATATGTGTTCAGCTTCTGTGAAGAGAGGGTGAGCAGCGGGGAGACAACACGAGCTACAAGTCTCTGGAGTTATTTGCTCATTAGCAAGAAGACTGACACGGCTTCGTGTGAGCTGTCAAGTCCCGGGCTCTCGGCGAGGTCTCTCTCTCAGACCCGGGGGGAGATGCTGGGCATACGCTGCAGACCCAAAGGGTCAGCGATGAATATGGTCTGGCCAATGGAGTGGGCCTGGAAAGGCGGGAGCCCCAGTGAAGTCAACGGGACAGGCAGGTGGTCTGAGCTGGAGGGTGCCGCTTTGCGACTGTCCTGTTGCAATCTGGTTTCTAAGGAAGCGTTCAGGGCCCCTGAGGTTTTGTATGGTGTCTGAACACCTCACAATCTTTAATATATTTACCCTTCCTGCATTCCTGGCCATGGTGCAAATGCTATTATCTCCTTTTCACAGTGGAAGCATCAACGCTGGGGTCAAGAAGCCCGCAACGGAATAGGGACTTGACCCAAGGCACCCTCCGAGTTACGCTAGTGCTATAGTCACTGCCCATCCTGCCTCTCCCTAGAGCGGCGGCTTACTCCTCCGTCTTCAGAGCCAGGATGAATAATTGCAT